CTCAATTACATCTGTTTCAATTTAATTATCATCTACTGAAGCACACTCAAAGTAGCTGGTCAATCTTGACTTTTTGATTGTTCATATAAGTAGATAAAAATATTTTCATTAAAACTATTATAAATTGTATTCCTCACAAGTCTGACAATACAGGTACTTCCTTCAGAGCAAAATAATGTATTTGTACCTAGAAAATGCAACACAGCTAGCACATTTTCATAGCTAAATCGCATGACTAAACCCCATCCTACAACCACCTTTTTTTTTAAAGAATTCTGTAATTGACTGAGAATAACGTTTCGTATTTCATGTATCTTTTAGGGTATTTATGGAGTGCAACAACTATCACTAAATTCAATTAAAATATGATGCCTGGGAATCACCACCCTGAAGAGTACAGGATTGCATCACTGGTCTTCTACAGTTTTGTATTCATAGTCGGATTGCTGGTGAATGCCACTGCACTATGGGTTTTCAGCTGCACCACCAAGAAAAGAACGACTATAACCGTATATATGATGAATGTGGCATTACTTGACATAATTTTTATATTTTTCTTGCCTTTTCGGATAATCTACCATGGGAAAGAAACGTGGCCTTTCGGAGATACATTCTGTCGTATTGTCAGTGCCTTCACTATATTTTATCCAGCCATTGCGCTGTGGTTGCTCACTTTTATAAGCGTAGACAGATTTATGGCTATTGTCCAGCCCAAACACGTCAAAGAACTAAAAAATACAAAAAAGGCTGTGCTGGCTTGCACTGGCATCTGGGTAATGACCCTGGCAACAACGTCCCCGTTGCTGTTTTTACAGTCTGATCCAGACAAAGCCTCGAATTTCACCACCTGCTTGAAAATGCTTGATATCATCCATTTAAAGGAAGTAAACACACTGAACTTTTCTCGCTTGATTTTTTTCTTTTTGATTCCCCTGTTTATCATGATGGGGTGTTACCTAGTCATTATTTACAATTTTATCCATGGCAAGACTTCCAAACTGAAGCCTAAGGCCAAGGAGAGATCCATAAGAATTATAGTTACGTTGATTGCTCAAGTACTCATCTGCTTTGTACCCTTCCACGTTTGCTTCGCCTTCCTGATGTTACAGGATGAAGATATAACCTACAATCCCTGGGCAGCCTTCACCACCTTTCTCATGAATCTCAGCTCATGCCTGGATGTTATACTGTACTATATCGTTTCTAAACAATTTCAGGCGAGAGTCATCAGCGTAATCCTTTATCGCAATTACCTTCGAAGTGTGCGCAGAAAAAGTTTTCGAACTGGAAGTGTAAGATCCCTCAATAATATGAACAGTGAAATGATATAAAAAGAGAAAAAAAAAAAAGTCAGAGGAGTTTTATAGTGTAAACAAAACTCTTTTTCCCCGAATTCTGCACTGAATAGTGTTCTATAGCCAGAAGTACATTTGTTGCACTGTAAATATGAGAAAAGAATAATAAAAATTGCACCTCTTTACACTTGCTCAACAGCTTTTGTAAACCTGAAATGAACGAGAACCTAGTATCAGTGTTAAACTTTGCGATGCTTTTGTCATCTCAAAAGGTTGTGAATATTGCCAAACGTGAAAAAGTGACTGTAAGCATAATAAAGCAGACAACACCGAAGAATTATGACACAATGTATATATTAATATTTTATATTTGCACAGCCAAAAGCTGCTCAACTACTGTAGAAACCAAGCTTCTAAAATTAGATTCATTCTATCAAGATCAATATGTTAGCATGACTCACAGAGAAATCCTGTAGGTACCACTTACATTTCATTCATCTAAAAATTTCTGAGATACAGATGTCTTTGTAACTGACAACATCCTGCAGTCATAGATAAAAACGTCAAACAGCTTAATAGTCAAACTGTTCATTAGCTCCCCGTGGGTGTGAGGTGCACATTTATTACACCCTACTCTTCTCTTTTTTACAAATTATCCTTTTACACAGATGAATTTGTCCAGACACATTAGCAGCCTATGTCCCAGCAACAAACTTCAAGGTAGCAAACATGCTAGATAACTGCAATACTACTCAAGCGTTCAACTCCTTTTGAATAATCACACACTACAGAAAAAAATACGTTTATGTCAAACACGTGCTTCTTCATTATTAAATCAGCCTTCAGCTACTTTCGAGAGTCACACTAAAAAAGCCTAATATTTTAATATTAAAAATCTTGCTCCTACGTTTATAATGTCAAACACGTGCTTCTTCTTCATTATTAAATCAGCCTTCAGCTACTTTCGAGAGTCACACTAAAAAAGCCTAATATTTTAATATTAAAAATCTTGCTCCAAGAGCTTTTATTATTACCTCACAGCGTACACCACATGGAAACTAAAGTCTGTATGAGGCTGATCTCACCTGTCAGAAGCTTAACCACAAAGGCTCGGCAAGCTCTACAGTTCTACTGTAACATGTGCAACTCTTCAGGGCAGAAATCTCGAATATAGGCTCTGTGACACTGAACCACTAAATACCTTAAAGCTTTAAGAACTTCAGCTGCAAGCATTAAATGGAATAACATGCTCTAGCACCCAATTTTTGAAACACAAACATATGAAGTACCTGTATGAAATGCATATAACTGCGTTTAAATGTGAACACAAAGATATGAATTACAGTTGCGCTATCTTTGTGATTTAAGCAAGAAATTAGCATCAACCTGATCTCAGTTTTCAGATTTATTGAACTGAACAAAACCAAATATGGCAGTAATATTTGCACCGCAAGCCATGTTTCAATCGTGCTGAGAGTGGAAAAGGAACTAACAGAATGGAAAGTAATCATTATATGGATAAATTATACATGAATTAATCACAGATCACAACTAGAAAAGGAATGTTTGAAAATACAATAGTTACACCAAGAACCTTCACACTGTAGTTCACAAGAGGATTAAATTCAGTTTGAAGGGTTAAATGAAGAAAGTTTTTTTAAATTAAAGTCTGCACAGAATAATCCCTTGAAACTATATCTAAAATAAACAATTCATTAGGAGCTACTTACAAACCAGAAGGCAAGCTGTTGATGGTGAGGCCAAATATATACTGAGCAATTTCTACAAGTAGAAGATCAAACAAAGCTGACAGCATCCAAGCACCCAGTAGAAAGGACTGGAACGAAAAATTTTAATTTGAATTAATTCAACAGTTTAAAAATAAGGTCTTAATGTACCTCTAAATGATGAAAGAAAAAAAATAAGAAAAACGCTATACTTGTTCAGTTAAGACAAATAAAATCTGTAGCACAGCATCATTGCAGATCTACGTGTCTAGATAATGAAGGGTTAGATTTGTTACCAAAATTAAATTCTGTGGGTCTGGTAACTTTCAACTGAAACCAAATTCTCTTTAAAATGCTTTAACATTTATTTCTATATAAAAAAGTGTTAGTAATAAAACTGCAATATTAATCCACATAATTCTGAACAGCATAGAAAACAGTTTCTTTCTAAAAAAAAACCAAACTGGAACTTACTGAAAATTTTCTGCTGCCATATCTTCTTTCAAATATTCTAAAGTTGTAAATGAGGAGACTGCTGCAGAACGTGTCTTTCAGATCAAGACATATTGTTCTCCCACATACAAGTCTCCAGATCTAGAAGATTAAAGATTATCATGTTAAGTCTCTCTTCCTTCAAGGAATTTCTTCACAGGTTTTGTGCTCAGCGTGTAATACCAAAGTCAGATAACAGAAATGCAATATGTTAATGGATGGCATTAAAGAGAGTAGAATGTTACTGAGAGTGCAAGAAGTTTGTTTGTTCCACTGATCACAACATTGTGAGCCCCTCAGGTCAGACAGGTTTCAGTAGACTTCGCTGCTCGCTTATCCAATCTGTGCTTCATCAGTGTGTCTGAGGGTGTTATGGGAGACTGTGTAAAAAGCTGTACTAAGGTAAAAATAAACAGCATCCACTTCTCTCCACTCACCCACCAAGACAGCATTCTGTGATAGATGACTATCAGGTTAGTCAAATAAGATTCCTACTTGATAAATGTGTGCTGACTACCCCCAGTCACTTTATTGTTCTTTGTGTGTCTGAAAATGATTTATAGGAGGACTTGTTTCATCACTTTCCCAGAGGTCCAGATAATGCTGACCAGCCTGTAGTTTCCCAATCTCCTGTCTTGCTTTTCCTGAAGACAGGAATGACATCTGCTTTCTTCCACTCTTCAGGAACCTTCCTTGACCGCAGTGACCTTTCAGAGATAATCCACAGTGGCTTCACAGTAACACGAGACAAATCCTTCAGAACTTGTGGGTGTATACCATCAGGTCCCATGAACTTGCGTATGTCCAGTTACTTCCTTCACCTGATCCTCCTTCACTGAGTTTAAGCCTTCGTTGCTCCAGACTCTCACACTGACCTAAGGGGCTTGGGTCTGCTGAAAAAAACCCTTACTATTAAGGAACCGAGGCAATGCAAGCACTGGATACCTTGGCCTTTTCCATGCCTTTTGTCTCCATGTCCCTGATCCCATGCAGCAGCAGGACCATATTTTCCTTGGTCTTCCTTTGCTGATATTCTTGTAGAAGCCCTTCTTGATGTCCTTCACATGCTTTGTCAGATTCAGCGCCAGCTGGCTTTTGGCTTTCCCAAAGCAGCCCTGCATGCTCAGTGTCTCCATGTTCCTCCCAGGTCACCTGATCTGCTTCTACCTTTTGTGTGCTTCATTTTTTATGTCTGGCGTTAGTCAGGAGCTCCTCGTTCATCTGTGCATGCCTCCTGAAACCTTTGCTTGATTGGCATACTGGATGGGCCAATCTTGAGCTTGGAGGAAGTGATCCTTGAAAACCAACCAGATCTGCTGTACTATGCTTTTTTCCAGAACCATATCCCATAGGAGTCTTCCAATCAGATCCCTGAACAGGCCAAAGTCCATTCTCCTGAAGTCCAGGGTTACAGTCCTGAAATTTTCCTTCTTCCCTCCTCTCAGGACCCTGAAGGGGGACCCATAGTTTACTTATTTGTTTGTAAGCATGAGGTCCAGACACAACATCTCCCTTATCAGCTCCTCCATCATCTGCATTAGAAAGTTGCTATCAATGCACTCCAGAAACCTCCTGTACTGCTTGTGTCCTGCTGCACTTCCTTCCCAGAGCATGAGCATGGTTAAAGCCCTCCATGAGGGCCAGGGCCTGAAATCGTGAGGCTTCTTCCAAGTGCCTGAAGAAGACCCCACATAGTTCTTCATGATCAGGTGGCCTGCAGCAAACACCATGACCAAAGTAGTCTGCCCTCTAACTCTGACCCAAAAACCATCAAATTCCTCATGTCCCAAGACAAAGCTCTGCACAGTCCTGCTGCTCTTTCACATACACAGCAATTCCCCTCCTTGCCTGTATTTCCCAAAGAGCTTGTACCTGCCTGTTGCAGCACTCCTGTCACAGAAGCGAAGTCACCACACCTCCGTGACCCCAACGAGGTTGCAGCCCTATGCTATAAGCATATGACCTTTAACTCCTCTTACTTGTTCCCTGTGTAGCACACACAAGCACAGACACTTCAGAGACACCCAGTCAGGCTGATTTTCCAGAAAACGCATGGGAGTGTTCCACATCACGCTGTCCCATAGGCACTTCCTGATTTATGTGCGTACATTTGCAGTAGGTCCTTGTTGGTCACAAGATCCCTTCTGTTCACATCACCCTTTACCCTTTGTGGCTAACCCAGTCTGTGGCCTCTTCCCCTGAACGTGGGTTGTCATCTCCCTCCTGCGTTGTTCCTGTCTTGAAATTCTCCTCACCAGGCTGGCCCTCTTGTTGGAAAAGATGCTTTTGTCCCACTTGGCCAGGTGGATCCCATCTCTTCCAAGTAGTCCTCAAGTCTCAGAGAAAGACCCACAGACACAAAAACTGACTCCTGCCAACACCAGCTGTGCAACCATTTGTGACTCACAGGATCTGTCCACTTGGGGTTTAACCCCAGCTAGCAATTAAGCACCACACAGCCACTCACTCACCTCCCCCCTCTTCCAGTGGAGGAGGAGTCCAAGTGCCAAGACACCATCCGAGTCTCAGATTTCTCAAGGTCAAGAATTTCTTATGAATTCTCAAGAATTCTGTGATTCTGTCTTTAGGCCTCAACCAATGCTTCAGCCTCTAACTTCCCCGGCGGACCAAAGGACCGAACAAGAAGAAAGAAATGGGACCTCACCATTCGAGCTGTCCTAAGTCAACTACCTAACCGGTACCCTGAGCACCAGCCTCCCGAAGTCCAAACAGGCAGGGCTGCGACCCTGCAGATGGACACTCCACGATACGCATTAACTGAGCAGCCCTCGCACAGACTACGTAAGGCTTCTAATTGCTCTTTACTTTAGCCATCCTAAAAGATACATACATTTAATGTCATCAAGAACTTCATTTTACAGACAGTTTTGTTGCAGCTCGAGGGTCCCCTTTATGGAGACACAGATTTTTTTAGCTTTGGACAGTACATATTTTGCCTTCCAAAACAAATAATACTCTTCTTCAAATGCACACTTTATTTCCTATGCTCTCTACCAGCTTTAACAAGTCTGAATGTCCAAAATGTCTGTTCAATCCCTGGAAAAATTCCACTCCATTAAAAACTCATCCCTGCAGATGAATTTTTTCTAAACAAATTTTCTGTAAAGTGTTCTCACTTGAATATTAGCATGAGACAGGAGTTAAACCATCTACTCTCCCTGACCTCAGAGGTACATAATTATATAGTAGATTGCTTACTCCAAAGGCTATGACAATAAACGAAACAATTTCAAGTAAGAAAAAAAAAATCACAGGCCCACAAATCCCCCAAAACATCCCAATAAAAGTATCATAACTTCTACAGATACTTGCAAATATTTATGCTTAAAACAGAGTAAAGATGGTTTCTTTGAATAGAACGCAGCTACTACTGGTTTTCAGCAGATCAAACAAAGGGAGAGGACTCTTCTAAAGACAAACTGCAAAGCAAACAAATACGCAAACAAACCCCAAACCCACAAAATCTCCATTTAGAACTTGAATAGTTTCTCAGACTTTCTCCTCCCACTCCCCGAACACTTGCTTGTAACACTTTTAAAAGGCAGACACTCATTTATGTATTTTGGCTGCACGGCGTTAGCAAGACACCTGGAAAATATGAGCAGTGCTCTTGGCGACTTGTAATCGACATCATTACAACAAAGCTCTTGTTCTTGACAAGAAAGACCACAGAGAGTGCAACAGTATCACTAGCTAGGTCTAATAATATTTAAGGTTTATAGGCTACAGTCAGCATCCTCAAAGGCATTAATTTGACTACAGACTTTTTTTGATCCAACTGCAAAACACATGTGATGAGATAATTGCAGAGGCATTTGCTGACCCTTATCTGTTGAAGAGTAGTTTGCCATTTCCAAAAATGAAAAAACCCAAACCAACCCCCATGAAACTTATCATGTCTAAGTGCATAATTTTGACAATTAAAACTCATACTAGAAGGTTCTTAATTAAGCTGAGATCAAAACTTTACAAAATGCAATATCTAAAAGTTAAAGCATCTCAGTATGAACTGGGAATAAGCAATAAATGCCTAAAAAGATAATTAAGCAATTCAGCAGATTACTGAGGAGCATGACAAACTCCCCCATCACTTGGAATGTTCAAATTGGAAGCAGCACTTCTATTCAACGTGTAAATTTTAGTTTCTCGCAACTAACTACAGCAGAAGTTACAGAGTGAAAGTTATGGCATCTGTTGTTAAAATAAATCACATAGAATCAGAGTAGCTGATCACAACAGCCCTCTTTGGCCTCAAGAACTAAGCACAATAAGCTATTGACATTCGTATCAAAATACTTGCATTATTACATGGGTTAAATCACATGGCATTCACAGCAAGCTTCCAAATGGCACTGTCTGGAAGGAAAAATGATACAAGACCAATTATTTCCCAGACAAAAAAAGGAAGTGAGAAGCTGCATTGATAGTTTCAGATCAGTTTTTCTCACTTTCACCAAAACATGGCCTTCTGGGATGACAAGAAAAAAAAAAAAAAAAGGTAAGAACAAGCTGGTCTACAACAGTGAACAAAGGGGAAGAACCAGAGAAACAGACTGAAAAATCACAAGGAAAAGCATAGTGTGCAGTCTCTTTTCACACAAAATGAACTGACTCTTACCTGAAAATCCTCTTTTATAGCCTGTAGGTTATATGCAAAGAACTTCTGATAATGTTGGAAGAGCAGAGTCAGTAGAATTGAGATGGCACTTGGGACTAATAACAGACTCTTTGACAAAGGTGCTTTATCTTAAAGACAAAGAACAAACAAAAAGCCATTTTAGAGAAAAAGCTCTCACATTTAAAAAGTGACATATTTAAACAGGTGATCGGAAAACATAACAGCAGTGGCACCACCTTGACTTTTTATCTCAACTTCCTAAGTTCTCAACAATGTGCAAATAGGTAGGAAACACACCAACCAAAGGAAGTCTTTGGAGCTATTAAAGACCGTTAAACATTCATCAACCATTTTGTTTTCAACATTCTCTCATAGCATTATTTGTTCAGCTATAATTAAACCAAAGCGCTCTGCACCTACAGAGGTCGTGCCTTCCTATGCCGCCTGCCTAAGGCTCAATCAGGTAATAAAATATTCACCTGGTTTTGGTCAGCAAAATAGACATGCAAAGCTAGTAAAAATACATACTTTTGTTTCCTTTGCATTAGGGATTAAACCCAGCTTTAGAGGCTAAGAAGCAGGAACCACGTGAATAAATGTCCAGAACAAACCGCCCTTCTCTTCGCCACACCTGGATCCACCATTCAAGGAAACATATCTAAGTTAATTTGCATGCCCATTCACCTTCCTTCCATTCAGTCATTGCAATTATTAATAAAGAAATTAATAAAGTCAGGACTTTTGCGAAATCAGAGCTTCTTTCCCCCTAGTAGCATGACTTTCAGGAAGGACGCTCGGAAGAAAGCAGGTGGAGAACACGTACAACACACCTCTGCCACAAACCGTCACACGGAGCATCCAGCAGGAGTATACCCGGCAATTCTTCCTAAGCTGTTAGCCTAGTCAACGCAACAAAACCTAAACTCTGCCCAACAATCCAAGCCAACACAGAAATTCTGAAATATTATTTCTTCTGTGACTTTTCCCCATTTCACACAGGCAACTTTAATCACATTTACTTCCTTCCCAAACACCCCAGCTACAGCAAGGAATCTACCCATTTTCAGACAACTGCTTTTTTGTAGGGTGTTATGAAATCCATAGCTCTGCTGTCATTGTTCTCAGATAACAAAAGGAGCAGTAAGACTACTTGAAAAGTACTAATGGGAAGTAAAGAGCAGGAGCACAGGAAGAACAAAACAAAGTGTAATACAGGAAACGTTCAGTATGTACCCAGATAACCTGACTACCATGAATGATTCCAGCAACATCTGCTGCACACTGGAAGAGTGAACTGCTAGAAAAGGATAGTAATAGGCACCAAAGCCAAGATTTTAATCACGGCACAATCCCACTGCCATCAAAAAAATGGTTCTTACTAAATAATTTAAGTGTGATCCTCGTGCAAGCACTGACGACATCAAGGACACCTGTGATGCCCACCGTTAGCCGTTCGCAGCTCACACCACCTTGAAGCCTGCAGTCTTCTGACATTCACCATGTGAAGAAACCAGCTCTTGCTATGCGTATCGCAATGTAAACCTGTACTTCAAACTCCTCCTTCAGTCCAGAACCGTAGTACCTTCAGGCTCATGATTTACAGACTCACTTTCCTTACTCTATTTAGGCAATTAAAGCCTTGAAAAACTATCTTTTTATAGAAATTAGGCAGTGACTTGGATTGACAGAGGTTGACGTTACTCTGCTAACTGTAGGCTCTACTTCTGTGATTAGATTTTTTGTGAGACACATCAGGAAGGCAGAAAGCCCGGCTCAATTTTGTTTAAATACAAGAAAACTATCCACCTTTCAATTTAATACCTTTCTTTGGATTTATTTTTTCTCTCCAAAAATAAGATCTATAGCCTTTAGAGGTCCATTTTTTAAATTATTCATTCCTCTGATTTAGTTAGACGCTTCAAAAAAAGTCTGAAGTCATCAGAGTACTGTAGAACACTGAGGGGGAAAAAGAAGCTGGAGCTGCCTCCAAGCTACCGTGCACCCAAATATTCACCTGAAACCTCAGGCAATGCTCCCTCAGTTAAGTTAACTTAGTTAAATTAACACTTCTTTATGAGAAATGGTTAGTTTTATAGCCAGGATAAAGCAGGTATTTGAAAGTACAGCCTAAATCAAAACAATAGTAGTAGTCATGATACAACAGACATTTCTGAACCGAAGTTGGCTAAGACTTGTTATTTTACCATCAACAACATTTACCTTAGTTCATGAGTTTAAATCAATTTTTACAAGAACTCATTAATCCTATAATGCTTTTCACATAAGGATCACATTACCACAAAATAACGTGACAAGCAAATCCCTAGATTTCCTACTGTGACTATATATTTCATACAGGTTTAACAGTTAGATTTTACTGTAATTTTCATATAATTAGCTCATTTTTACATTACAGGTAATACACACTTGGAATACTTTATCCTACCAAGTTCATTCCTAACCTGACTGCATTCAGAAGTAACCGACAGACCCTTATATGTTTTCTACAGAAGTGTGAACCCACATTTTTATTATCAGCCTCCTTTTAGTTTTCAGTTTAGACGTTTTAAACCTTGTTATAGAGGAAAAGCACTTATTTTTAAGCCTACCACCCAGTGAGAAATCACAGAAGTAACTAACTCATTAATGTGACAGTCACCCACAGGGAACATCACATGAGTAACGGAAACTTCAACTCCCGAGCTTCTCAAGATGTCATCACAGTTGATAGGTTTCTTCTTGTCCAGTAAACTTACGATAAACTCTTCCAGATAAATAACTCATCTCCTGAAATGCTGGGGTCTGCTTTACTCCTCAACAGCATATAGGTCCTTACCAAGGGCCGCTGTGCGATCACCAGTGAAGGGGCAACCCTCCCAGCTGCTGTGGCATGCCTCCACCAGTAAGACCAAAATGACCAACAGTACACCAGATACTGCAGAATCGGGCATTCTCACATCCAAGAGGAATTCCTCACTTAGAATGTAAAGGTAAAATTTAGAAAGCAAAATTCTAGTCTGATGGGATTTGCAATGGGGTGCAGGATGGAACCATGCTCTACCAACCCATACTGGGTACCAGTGTCTACTGACAGCACCCATGCGCACAAGGAGGAGAAAAACACAGTGCCTCTATACCACAGAAAGAAAGTGGAATGAAAGGATAAACTCTCCTTTCAACCCTGGAGAGTTAAAATACATGAAATACTATCTTCAAAGCCCTTCTCTCAGTCCAATGGAGTTCTCCCCAAAATTACCCCCATAATCTCACAAACACCCCAACCTTTGCGCTACCGCTGTGCGATGTGCGGCTGATCCTAAAACACACCAGAAAACCACCTCTCAGTCTCCACATTCCACCCCTGCACTCATTACAAAGGCCACAAATCCTTTTCTCCTGCAACCTACCACTTTTTTGGCTGCCGCTACCGCTTTCAAAGTACAGAGAGTAAAGGACTAGATGCGTCCATCTGTCACAAACGGAGGAGGAGGCATATGGCACAACTGCTCGGGTAGCTGCAGCTTCAGAAGCTACCACTGCACTAATGCGAATACGAAAGTTGTGGTAGCAGCAACAACTACAGTTTTTTAAAATGATTTCCTGTTCACCACTCACAGGTGAAAAGAGAGAACAGATGAGCATAACAGAACAGGCAGCCAAGGCCAAGCTATTGTTTCAGAAGGGCATTTTGGGGAACAACTTCACTGTCTGGACCCAAGACTCAAGCATTAACTTGGGAGAGGACCTCACCACTGATGCCAGCTGATAAGCAGTGGTTGCAGAAGCTCAAATTAGCTCAAGACATTTTTTGTAGAGATCCCTACTGAGCTTACACCAGCGCCGCCGATGAAACATGCTGCATAACAGGGTTTTTTTCCTACTGTCACCTGCAAACTTCCCAAACCCACCTGATGGGAGGCAGACACGCCACTTTCATACAGACAATTAACTGCTGGGCGTTACTGTAACGAAACATGCATGAATCACCTTTTGATGCTGATACACAAGGTCTGCGAATCTCGTACACCGTAACGGATGCACATCTGAATGCACAGTAATTCACAAATGCACTGATGGAACCTGTGTTTTGGGTGGGTTATTCCTGCATTAAGCCATTGCACAGCTATTCCTCTATCGCGTTCCAAACATTTAGCCAAGAGCCTGCAGCAGGTTCATCAGACAGAAGTGACGTCTCCAGCAGTCAGTTTTCAAGGGCTCTTGCCTACTAGTTTCCCCATCGGATGCAAGTTTGTTATGCATCAGGAAGAAATAGCCTTTACAGCATGAATACCTGAAAATACTCCTCCTGAACTCTTGAAAAACCTGCTTGTCCTTTATAGTAATGGCTGGTAAAACTCATCTGCCGGATATTCAAACCTGAAGAGTAATTTTTCAGTGTTTCCCAGGCACCGACATGTGCCTTTGGAAGGCTGGAGCAACCCTTCTAGATCTGAGGAGTAAATGCTTGTTCTTTATCATAACCATGCACTGACTCCTGAACAGTAGCAGAGAACAAATGGGATCATGCCATGGGGGGAGGATGACAGGAGAAATACTGCCTGAGGAACCTGGAAGACACCAGAAGACTGTGTGCAGACCAGCAGGATGGAATTTAACCATACAATGGTTCTTTAGAGTTTTTTCAAGCCAGTGTAAGTATTTTTCTAATATTTAATCCTTTGAAAAAACTCATGCAATACGAGAGGGCCCTGCAAAAGCAGCGAAATTACTGCTGTCTGAAAGTACTACATGACTGAATGCAAGTATTCTGGGTAGGGAGGCAGCTCTTGCCCATAGTCTAGGCCCAGAGCACACACACAGGAAGGGGATCCTGTGTTTAGACTGTCACTTGACAGCGTACTCTGCTGGCAAATCATCCTGATGCCTCCAAGTGAACACACTAACAAGAGTATCCCTGCAGGAAAAATTTTTCATCAAATGCTTATAAACCTAATGCAGAAGCTGAGAGGTGAATAGCATCAGTATATATACTAAGGAAATCAATAAAGAAAACAACTGTGATCATGTTTGAAATCTATTTTTAAAAGGCAATGGTAAAACTGCAATCAAATCAGTTACCTATACATCTACTGTTTAGAAAACTCATGGGTAGGTCACAACCTATAAA